GCAGTGTTTGCTTCCTTCAGATGATACTCTGTACAGAATTGACCGTACATGACTGCTTTCTCTAACACGTATGTTTAATCTTCAGATCTCCGATGGCCAAGGAGATGAGCGGTCAGAGTCTCCCTATGAAAGTGCTGATGAAACTCAGACTGAAGTGTCTATATCATCCAAAAAATCTGAGCGAGGAGCAGGAACAAAAAAAGAATATGTGTGTCAGGTGAGAGATGTTAGCTGGGGCAGTGAGCCGTGTTTTCTGAGGGTTCCTAGAAAAGGTCTTTATAAATATGAAAATGACAATATTAGGCCAGAAACAGGATTATCGTGTGTCTGTCTGTTAGTGATGAGAGTGCCATGCTAGTAAATGGAATTCTTCATTCTTAATTTTTTTTTTCTTGACCTCCAATAAGTGACTTGGCTTTTCTGCTTGAGTTTCCAGATCTTTAAGATAAGCATAATTTGTACCTCAGAGTAAGTGCATGAGTATTACCAGGTAACTAGTTAAATGATTGAGGAGAGCTGCTCGCTTATCTGGTAATAAAGAGGAGGTAAAGTAAAGTAAAACCCAGTGGGTTTTGTGCTTCTGCATGCAGCAGAGATTGCAGGGCTGCACTGGTAGCAGCGTGCATGTGGCATGTTAACTGAAAGCAAAAAGCTGTCTCAAACTATGCTAGAAGAGTTCTTAGATTATGAAATGATAACACAATACAAATAGATCAAATTTGTTTTCCACAAGACTAAGCAAGCAGTTATATCTCCATTTCTTGTACCTAGTGATGATGAGGTTATATCTATCTTTAAATGTTGGCTAATCCGTTAAATTCTGCCAGCATTGTTGTTCGGTTCATTTCTAGTTATGCATGTGACATTGCTAACCACGTGGATATAGAAGTATCCTTGTGCCACCTAGATTAAGTTCCTTTTGCCAAGGAAAAGGAAAATAAGGATGCTTTTTAACCCTACTCAGATGCATCATTGTGCCTGGGGAAAATTTCTTAAAGCTTGTATTCTTTTCCTTTTTTTCTGTCGGATTGTATTTACTCATGAACTGTGGTTCTATGAGTGATATTTCTAGCGGTTTAATGACTCTGTTATCTGTTTTGACTGGAAGCCAGGACACGTGATGATACTTGTAGAATTATCTTTCACTTATTAAATTTGATTTCAACAATGGGAAAAGAGATTTTTTGAGGAGCAATAAATGAAAAGGAATAAAGAAAACAGTTAAACAGTTTTTTTCACATATGAACTTTTCTTTAACATTCAATGCCTTTGTGTTGTAAAAGCTGTGTGAAAAAACAGGTGATCTCCTACTGTGTGAAGGACTTTGCTATCGAGCTTTTCATGTAAGCTGCCTTGGGCTCTCTGGAAGACCAGCAGGAAAATTCATTTGTAGTGAATGTACATCAGGCAAGTTTGTCCCTTTCTGTTAATTAAAAAATAAATAAATAAATCATACATTGTTCTAGGAAATTCTCCTGGGCAGAGTATATATCTCTGGAGAAACCATACTTATCCTTTGGTGCCTGACAGGGTGGGAGTTCATATAGTACCATGAAGTGTGCCAAGTTTTAGAAAGCTCACTTTGTTTTCACTCCACGCTCTCTCGCAATTTGGCTGATTTAATCTGAATTCCATTGCCTTAATAACTGCAGAGTATTTGCTCTCTGAGTGCAATTACAGATTAGATTTAAAGTCTGTCACAGAAACCCTAGAAAAAAAGCAGCAAGTGAAATGTTTTAAGTCCCTTTTCAGTCCTTTGTGTGTCTATATCAATCTTTTGCTTTTCCCATTAAAAGACTACCTTATTGCTATTAATTTCATTGACTTTTAATCCTTTAATAACTGCTTGGAAGGTCATAATCTTAAAACTTTAAGTAAAAGATTTGCATTCTTGCTCATAAGCTCAGTTCAGTACATGTGGTAAACTTTGTTGGAACAAGGCTCCTTCAAAATAATGCTTGTCTTTGGTTTGTGGACCTACTTCAAATGTCACAGGATCACAAACAACCCATCGTCCTATTTCATTGCTTTAAAAAAAAAAAATCACAGTCATCCTGGTGTACTGAGGCTTATAAATAAGAATGTAAAAGCAGATTGGTGAGGTTTTGGGTGTTGTTGCATACACTTTAACTGCAATGGGTTTGCATTGTAACTTTAGTTTATCTGTATCTGAGCAGATTAGTATTTAACACTAAAGAGTTACAGTAAATAGATTGCTGCATCAAATAATAGAATTTGATTTTAGTTTATTAAAAAAAAAATCACAACGAAAGCAACTCCCTTATGCATAACAAAAACAACAGAAGCATTTTAAATTCATGTGTTTGGGTGAAAATTAGTTACATTATTTTTATTACTTTTGCTACTAGGTGTGCATACCTGTTTTGTGTGTAAAGAGAGAAAGGCAGATGTGAAACGTTGTGTCGTATCCCACTGTGGAAAATTCTACCATGAAGCTTGTGTGAAAAAATTTCATCTTACTGTGTTTGAGAACAGGGGGTTTCGATGTCCTCTCCACAGCTGCCTAAGTTGTCATGTTAGCAACCCCTCACACCCACGAATTTCAAAAGGTAGTTTCATTTTATGTTTTTATGACTGATTAATTAAGTCTGTTTATGGTATGTTAAGGTAAGGAATCTGTCCATTTAATAGCTGCTAGCTACAGGGGCATGCAGGGACTATTGATTGATTTAGAATTTTTTTAAAAAATGCATAATTTTTAATCAACATTAGTATTTACCTTGTGTATGTTCTTTTTTTTAACTAGCTTTCGACTATCTGTAGTTAACCATGGTATCTTCTCGAAAGAGAATGAAATCTAGAAGGCATATATAATGATGAGAGACAGGCTGAGCAGAGTGAGGGCGAGACCTGTGAATGTATAAATACTGCAGCAAGGCTCACCCAATGTGGAGGCATTTGATTCTGTGCATATTTTTAGCTTTGGGCAACATCTGTAGACAAAATTGCATGACTGAGGAAAGCTTGTCTACCCTGGTGTGCGTAGTTAAAGCCTTCACATTTAACTATTATAGTGATTAAACTCAGTCTAGGGTTCTTTAAAAAACCTTTGTTAATTCAGTATTGTTGCTAAATGCAAATACACAGATTTTCAAAACATAACTGATGTATTTTTTTTTGTGTATAGAGGCTACCTCAGGCAGTAATGATGTAAATAATAATAATAATAAATAATAAATCTGTTTTGTTCAAAAATAATTTGGCAGTATTCTGCTTTGCTAGGAAAGATGATGCGTTGTGTTCGCTGTCCTGTTGCATACCATGCTGGAGACGTTTGCATTGCTGCGGGATGTGCAGTCATCGCTTCCAACAGCATTGTGTGTACGAATCATTTCACTGCCATGAAAGGAAAAAGTCATCATGCGCATGTCAATGTGAGCTGGTGCTTTGTGTGTTCAAAAGGTAAACTGATGTAAAAACTCTTCCATAAATGCAGCATCAAAATGTTTTATGCTTCAATTTAAATTTTATTTTACTAGTCTTTTTACACAAAATTTTTAGAAATGTGGCGTATTAAGTTAGACTCTGTTAAGTAGTGAAATAACTTCAGGTTGGCTTGTGCTGCTTCAAGTTTTTGAGTATCCTTTCTTTTGCAGATATAATTTATTAAAGAATGTTTTTACTTGGACTTTGTCCAGCAACCAGAAGCCTGATTTAATTCTTTACCAGAGACACATAATGTGAAGTATTTCTCTGTTCTTTTCCCCGTGTTCAATGTACTGAAGCTTTTTGTGTTTCTTTATTGCTAATACATAATAGTAAACCATAAATATTTTAAGAGTTGCTTTTAGTTTAGCAGCAGACAGAAAATTTAATCAGTATTAGTTGTTGCTGGGAGTGCCACTAATTAAGTGTGTTTTGGTTTATGTTGTACAATAAATTTATTTTTTATTGAGAACCACAAAATGCGTAGTGCTGATTAAACTGTAGCAGTGAAAGTACCTGATTTGTTAACAAATTAACATGCAGCATAGCAGCTTTTAAGCTGCAGCTAACGTTCCACTCGATAATTCATGGAACAACCTAACAACCTCGTTCCCTCTCCCCCCAGGGGAAAAAAAAATAAGAGAAATCTGTTGTTGTTAAAATTTTGCTTACAGAGAAATATTAATATATATTAAACTATGTTAAACAGGTTGTAGTCATTAAAGTAAAACAAAGTCATTATAATTTGCAGTGCGCGATTCTGGCTTTTGTATCGCTAGCTTGCTTGTTATTTTGTATGTATTACTAATCCCAGTCTGCCAGGCATTCAAATTAGTGAGGACCTTTTGGTTTTTGTACACAACTAAATGATATGTATTTATTGCAAGCCAGCATGTTTTAACCATTTATTTTCTAACTGAACCTACCATGCATATCACAGTGCTTTGAACCGGGTGAGAATGCAAAAATTTTATTTTTGTCTTGATGTTTTTCAACCTTTTTTTATTTTTTTCTCTCTCTGAAGGAGGAAGCTTGTTGTGCTGTGAGTCATGTCCTGCAGCGTTTCACCCAGACTGTTTAAACATTGAAATGCCAGATGGGAGCTGGTACTGCAATGACTGCAGGGCAGGGAAGAAGCTCCATTTCCAGGATATTATTTGGGTTAAACTGGGAAATTACAGGTCTGATGAATGGATTTATTTTGTTTTACAGTACTGACACGTTCAACTAAGGATCATACAGTTGGTTGCTTCTGTAGGCCAGCCTTGCTGCACACAAATTTCTCATTCCTCTGTGAACTAGGGACCCCTATCTCCTTGCAAGCATCAAATGCAAAGACTTGTAGCTTCACTGTTGCTCTTGGCCAAGGCATTACCCATACAAGACTCCCTGTAGTCTTCTGACATCTGCTTCCAGAGTATAAGCCTTCAACCCCTTTTGTTTCAGAGATCTCTTCAAATAATTACGCTGATGTAACTTGTAATTGGCTAAATTACAGCCTTGCAGGCTGGGAGATAAGTCACTCAGGTTGTCAGTGTTGAGATTTGAGTGAGATAGAGGTGGGTGGGGTTTGTCCTAGAAAGCATTAATAGCTATTATCAGCTCTCTCTTGATCTTTGACAATTACAGTGATTGCAGACCTTGTTAAAGATGATGGTTTTGCTAACCAGATGAAAGGAGCTTTATGTGGATGCTTATCTAGCAGGCAGGCAAAAGTCCCACAGATTTGAGTGTCATGCTTTCCTTTTCTAGTCCTGTCTTCTCTTGTTGCTCAGTGAGCTGGGGGAGGAAAGGTTTTTAAACCTGCTTGGATCTTGAAAATAACAATCAGTTACTGCAGTTCAGGGTGATTTTGTTAAACTGTCTATTGCAGAAAGATCTTAACTAAAATGCTGTATTTTTTTTATTTGTACTTCTGTGCTAGATGGTGGCCTGCAGAAGTTTGCCATCCAAAAAATGTACCCCCAAATATCCAGAAAATGAAGCATGAAATCGGAGAATTTCCTGTGTTTTTCTTTGGTTCTAAGGATTACTATTGGACGCACCAAGCACGGGTGTTCCCTTATATGGAGGGAGACAGAGGGAGTAGATATCAAGGAATCAAAGGAATTGGAAAAGTCTTCAAAAATGGTACATAGCTAAAAGTAAACAAAAATAGTCTTGTGATATGCATGCTTTACTTTCTTCAGACATAGCCTCGGGACTGTTTATATATTTGTTTCACAATATTGAAATTTTTTTAAAAAAATTGTTTTGGTGTCCTGGGCTGCAGTCATTATTACTGACTTTGAATGAAAGCCATTATTTTCATGGCTTGTAAGACTAGCATCTAATTGGAATTATTTCTGGTGATTTTTACTTTATGGAAAGGAAATGCTGAGTGTAAGTGGGAGACAGAAAGAGTGGAATTGATACATCTGTTAAGAGTGTTAACCCTCCAGAAGCATCATTTTTAAGAAAATTAAATGGTGGGACTAGGAAGTAGAAGATGATTCTTTGTTTAACACACATGGGAATGAGCAAGTCAATTTGGGGGGAGTGATCATCCTCTTCCTAGCATTTCTGTTCATACAACAATCTTTTTTAGCTTTGCAGGAAGCTGAAACTCGATTTCGAGAAATAAAGCTACAGCGAGAAGCCAAAGAAAGCCAAGAAAGTGAGCGTAAACCTCCACCATACAAGCATATTAAGGTAAAGTCTGAGGAAATTACTGGATACTCAAAGCCAGCCCTGGAGAGGAGGAGCTGAGTGGTGAGATGGGGAGGAGAGGTTGTAATGGTGTGCTGGTAATTGTGCTCTTAGAGTCATGAGGTGATGAAATTTTGCTTCCATTGGAACATCTAGTGTTACAAAACCAAATTGTTAACCACTGTAATAACTCTTACAATAAATTCAAATGTTTTAAAGTGATGTTTGAACTATTTTAATGTATTATTCAGGTGAATAAACCTTGTGGTAAAGTGCAGATATATACTGCTGACATTTCTGAGATTCCCAAGTGCAACTGCAAACCCACAGATGAAAACCCTTGTGGCTTTGATTCCGAGTGCCTAAATCGGATGCTGATGTACGAATGCCATCCACAAGTTTGTCCAGCGGGAGAACGGTGCCAAAACCAGTGCTTCACAAAACGGCAATACCCTGAGACAAAGATCATCAAAACTGATGGGAAAGGGTGGGGTCTGGTCGCTAAGAGGGACATTAAAAAGGTATGAATCGTTCTTGCCTAGCAAAGAACCTGGGGACTTGTGATGCTCTTTGTGGGTTTGGTATATACTTTACTAGTGATACTTGGTATCTTCCAGGGAGAGTTTGTGAATGAGTATGTCGGTGAGCTGATTGATGAAGAGGAATGTATGGCAAGAATCAAATATGCACATGAAAATGACATCACCCACTTCTATATGCTTACTATTGATAAGGTAGAGTATTTTAAGTTTTCTTCCATTATTTAATGGTCTCTTTTCTATTAATCACCTTGATAGGGCACGCTGCTTCCTTTGATGTTTCACAGTTTCATGTATTTGCAATGTTGCATCTTCTGTGCCAGCCTGCTTCGTTCTATATATATAGTGCACCTCATTAGTTCTAACTGTGTAATATAATAAAGTATATATTAAGGTCTAAATTGTGCTTTGTTGCTTGAAATTGAGTACAGCAAAAGTAATTATCTGCGTAGTCTTAAAAGGAAGTATGAAGTTTTGGGAAATAATAATGATGCAGTTGAAAGAATTACTGTTAGCAAAACTTTTGCTAAAATTTCAACAACAACAAAAAATTATCACTTGAGAGTAGTGTGGAATATAGTTGTGAGGCTGTGTCCTATAGTGGACGTTATCTGTCCCTTTCTTTGTTTATAGCAAAACTAGACTCATGCTTTTGTAGAAACTTTTCTGAAAGCATTATCTATGTTAGTAGCAAGCCAGCACTCCACAAATTGATTCTGCAGGAAATTAATCCAGCAGATTAATTAATGCAACAAATTAATCTAGCATCTCTGGTTGTCTGTGCACAACTCTCGAGTATTTTGTTCCTGAGAAGGGGAAGAAAGTGGGGAACCCAGACAGTAGAGGGTATTAATTGTATATAATATATTACTTCAGTCCCCAAACAGCTACTTAGGAGAAAAACAGGAGTTGTCTGTCAGTCCTGCACATTTTTGCAGTCCTAAACACCTTGCTTTTGCCCAAGACTGTCCTGCTCTCTATTTTCACAGCTACTGTTTTCATTAGTCCTGTAACTGAGGAGTTATCACCTAAGAGTGATTAAACCCTGTTTCTCTGAACACTTGAGTTTCTCACCCTTCTGTTAAACTGACGTACGACGTCAGTGCATTAAATATCTGAACTGAACATGTATTTGACTCACCTTAGTTAATAAATCATCATTTATGGTTCATTGTGGTTCTGTCTTTCAGAAATGCCCGTGCCATTGTGAGGCTGAGCTGCACATGCAGTCAGAGTGACTGGATGCATGTGCACAAAGTCATGTCAATCATACATGTGCATTATAAAAATGAGTTAGAAGGAAACTATAATAGTATTTCATAAATAAGCAAAGCTTTCTTAAGCAGCTCTGGAAAGAAACACAGTTCTGGCTATTTCAAGATTTTATTTTGTTAGTCTGGTATGTTTGTTGGAGATAGAAATTAAGGCAATTGTGTGTAGGGATGGGATTTTTTTAGTTTACCAAGAGCTTGTTTTTGTTTAAACTAGGCTGATTTGGGGAAAGAAAGCTGGTGAGAAACTGGCAATCTCTGCAAGTAATCATGCAGTGACTTGGTAAATACCGTAGAGCGCAGTATTTGTAAATGCGTCACAGCTTTGTGAATGCAAAGGAAAAGGTAAATGGTCTGGGTTTGAGTTTTGAGGCTTTTTGGAGGGAGGGGGTTCTTAACATGACCACCACAGCGCTCACAAGAACACTTATCCTGCCATGTGGCTGAGATGGGTTCTGAGACAATGTGAGCTAGAGCAGAGTATTGCTTTGGGAGTGTCACATTCCAGGATACATGAGACACTACAGTTTTCAATACAACATGTACCACCAGTTTGGTTGTGTGCTTCTGGGTAGCAACACTATGTCTGTTTTGAATACAACTACTGAAATAATTAACAGAATTTTTTTTTTTTATGAGGGGGGAGAAAAAACATTCATTCTGTTGCTGATCTGATCTCCAGGACCGTATTATTGATGCTGGCCCCAAAGGAAACTATTCTCGTTTTATGAATCACAGCTGCCAACCAAATTGTGAAACTCTAAAATGGACAGTAAATGGAGACACTCGTGTCGGCCTCTTTGCTGTGTGTGATATTCCTGCAGGTATATTAGCTTATGTTGGTTTTGTTTTAATTCCCTAAGTTAAACCTTTAGCACGGTTATGAGTGAGACAATCATGGTCTAACTGAATCAGTGCAAATATTTTTGTAGAGATCTCAAACAACATTTCTGTATCTTCAGGTGATGATAGTAAACTTAAGGAGTGGGCAAGAAGGATGTTTAAAAATATGTATGTTCTGGTTTGTGCAGCCATGCACGCACACACGCACATATATCTGTATATATATGTATATCTATAGCTATGATAATAGATCAGCAAGGAAGTACAAAACCAGAAGACAGATAATGAAATCTTTATTTGTTTGTAATAATTTTGATAGACTTTGTTACCATGTTCTTCATGATGAAAGGATATGTCTTATCTCACTCAGGGACAGAGCTGACTTTTAATTACAACCTTGACTGTCTGGGCAATGAAAAAACAGTCTGCAAATGTGGAGCCCCAAACTGCAGTGGATTTCTTGGGGACAGACCAAAGGCAAGTAATATATCAAGAGATTTTGACCATAACTTGTCTACTAGCCTTGTTTTTTCTTTTGTGGTATGCATTGGCCGACCTATTTGATGTTATGATAAGGGTTAATGTTGCTTGAACAGATGCTAGTTGTCCTGTGAGCAAAAAGCTTACTGTTTCCCTTGCTGGGATGATGTAAACATTATTTTGCCAGACATAACCTTGGTGCTAAAGAATACATTTTTAGGCTGTAATAGTACAGCAGGCAATACTGCTTTTGGGAACACCCTAAAATATTTTCTTCCATTTTCTCCTAGGAGAAATTAATTATTTTGGGTCCTGCATAAGAAATATTGCTAGCTACTGGTGCTAGCTTCTGGAATCAAAAGCATATAACAAAAGGTGTTGAAAAGCAATAACCTTCCCAGTCCCATTTGAAGTGTGAGGAGGGAAGGGTTTGTAGGAGCTCAGAACTGACTTAAGAACAAGCCTAACTACAGTCAGGGAGATTATTCTGACATTGTAGTTTATATTTCCCCCATATAAACCTTAAAATATTATTATTTTGTTAAGATTAAGGCTGTGCTGCCATTCAGCGAGACCTGGA